TCAAAATGTTTTCATCCAACATACAGTCTCCTTAGTGCAATAACGTAATAAGTGCTTCTAGATTTAATGTCAGTTATTCAGTAAATGCACTAAGATACATCATTTCAATGCAAAATTATTTTTTTTAAACAATCATTGCATTGTTTTGACACTAAAACACTTCTATATAATATTTTTGGCACTTAAATTTCTGTAAAACAAGCATTTACCTATTTCACAGTGAGTTCCATTATAGCCATCTGCACATGCACATTTATAGGAATTGACAAAGTCTACACAAGTACCACTATGTTGACACGGGTACGGTACACAATCATTGGTATCTAAGCAAAATCAAACAACCACAATTAGTACTTCAGTACAATGCATGAGCTTTATAATAGAATGCTCTTTGTACGCGCATGTATGTACTTACACAAATGTAGACATATTAAACAGCATTATGTTTATTGCAGTACTTTGTAATGGCTATATGAAAGTTCTCCAAATGTTTATTTAATTATAACGGTATTTAAATGTCCGTCATTAGTTTGGACACGAAATACGCCAGGCTAGTGACAAACGAAGACGTACTGTAACCATAGAATATGGTCAAGATTTCTTGAAAGATAGTTTGTGTTTTAATCACCTAGGTGAATAAATTATTTTGCATTAAACATATCCATAATATATACCTATTTCACAATTCTGTCCTTCATATCCCTCCATACAAGTACACACATAGCCAGCAAATATATCAGTACAGTTCCCAAATTGACAAGGATCCGACAAACATTCGTCAACCTCTTAAATAGAAATGATATATTGCTTATTAGTTCATTACATACTGTTATATCAAACTTTGATGATAACCAACTTTGTTAGATTAAAAGCAAAGATAAATGACAACAAGTCCTTTTCACACTAGTATACAGATCAATCAAACATTTTTTTAAACTTCAAATTATTATTTATTCAAATTAATGTTGGTCATTGAACGCCGCCTTCTCTTGTTGACCTTGTGTACCATATTTGGGTCATAATCCAACAAACCAACCATCCAGCAACTATCAAGTCAGTCAACAAACCAGTCAACCAAGACAACTAAAGAAACGAAATTGTTTAAGTTTACCAGTATTGCACGTGGTGCCCCCATAGCCATCCGCACATGTGCAATTGTACCCATTGACCTGATCTACGCACGAACCCCCATTCGTACATGGCTGAGATAAACATTCGTCTATATCTGAAAGAAAAAGCGAAATGTTTATTTTGTCAAATGCAGTACTGCAAAAGTTGCCCCGTTTTTCACTCAAGTGTTGTTCAATTTTCTGTCCTTTCAAGATCATTGATTCCAGCACATTTAGTATAATAATTGAAGATTTCATACCGCTTAAACCAGTTCCAGGGACGTGAGAGATGATGAGATTTAAATCAAACCTGTCTAATGCTGTTGTTTTTCGTCGCTTCCGAGGGTTCTGCCCTTTTCCAACTTTATATATGCCTAGACATTATTGATTGTAAGACAGTATTGATTGTAAATCAAGACCGATGTCTTCGTTCAGCTTACTTTTTGAAAGGCATTAATATAAAATATACAATTTATAAGCAAAAATAAATAATATACAAAGAGTAGTATAAAAATAGTAGTATATAACACCAACCTGTTTCACAAACATCACCAGTGTAACCTTGTCTACAGTTGCAACTGAAACCATTCACTTTATCCACACATTCACCTCCAGACCCGCATGGGTTTTCTACACAATCGTCTATATCTGAAAACAATATAAACATACATAATCAAATCATAATCGTACCATGATCCAATGTTGGAAAAGAAAATATTTCCAGCGCTGCTCTTATCACGCATTATCCATGTGCTCACGTTGCAAATATAATATTTGTGTGCATTTTTGTGAAAGAAAACGTAACTAAATGATTAGTTTAGCAGAAACGACTTAAATGCGCTGTAAATTATGATTTTTTAGATATGCTTAACAATTTTACCAGTTTCGCAGCTTTGACCTTCATATCCATCCGAGCAATTGCAAATGTATCCATTGACAACATCAACGCACGTGCCATTATTCTTACAAGGAAGTGACAAACATTCATCTATATCTTAAAGTTTAAAAATAATCAAGGTTTACCTTTCATACTATAGCCTTGCCATATCTTCAATAAAGGCACATTCAATTGACACATCAAAAAGACACATCTAAAATGATATATTCTATAAAGACAGAAAGTATCATAATATTATTGTAAAATAAAATATAACTTTCGTGATTGTATAAAAACGAATGTGTATTTAAAAGGGTCTGCCGGCATATTTTCTTTTATTATTTCCTGACATCATCAATACCATTACGATGAAAGTTATGGGCTACCTGTTTCGCAAGTACTTCCCGTATAACCCGGGACACAATCACATGTATGTTGGATGTCTCGATATGCGCAAGTTCCCCCATTCAAACACTGGTTATACCCTGAAATACAATGAAGCTAGTTATGTTAATGGTTTTATGAATTAATAAAAAGAGAGCATGAATGATGTTGCAATATTTTTATTATCGCTCATGAACAGACTGAATCAAACCGCGTCTGCAATTTTAATGTTATTTATTGCCTTGTTCTTCAGGCGTAATATTCACATTTTCTCAAATAATGACGTCAAATAATGACACAAATGAACTAAATATATATTTACGAAAACTGTCAAAAAAATGCAAAACGCGGCTTCGGGTTTATTTGATATTATCCGACATTATTCATTAGTCGATATTAACAGTTCATTATGTTTGGTTATTTAAAAAGAAATAACGCATTAGAAAATGTCTATCATCCCCATTTCACCAGGTACTATGAATAAGAAAATATCCTGCTTTCTTTTCACCAGATTTTGTGATCAACAGTTAATAATATCTTTGAACCAGACAAAATGAATAAAAAAGTATGTTGCTTAATGTTGATTAATGAATAAACATAGAGAATATAAGTTTGTTTTATGTGTAAAGATGACATTCCAAGTTAACCACTCGTGTGAATGTTGTCTTTGAAGGGATGAAATGAACGTACGTCTTACACAATAATAAAAACAGACACATTTTATCATTTTATTATTTATAAGTATTTTATGCTTAAAGACGAATCTAACTGACATTTCTCCAAAATTTAAATATTAATATGAATATTGAAATATATGTTTTACCACGGTTGTCTCAATTTTACCAGACTTAATGAATGAGGAACAGCTTGATGCTGCAACTCTATCTCAATCACGACTCAAGGAATAAGATCGCATGTTGTTTCATTTCAGATGATTCGATAAATATGAAACATTTTCTTGCTTTCGTTTAATATGATTTAACAAATAAGAAACTTTATTTAACAGCTGCTTTTAAGTCTATTCCAAAGATTCTATTTAATGTTAGTCATTATAATGATCATAATAACTTGTAGAGTAGTTGAATAAATAACAAAAAAATAAAGAAGTACCTGTCCAGTTTCGAGCATTTTCAGTTGAGTTACAAAACCTGCAACTTGTTAACGACACTTCCCCTTCATAGAAACACTGACCCTCGATGAAACAAAAGTTGTCCTTTATAAATGAATAAAGTACAGTAATTAAAATTTACAATTATATGCATCATTATATTATATATACAATATATACATGCATATATCAATAGTACTTAGCATGCAAACTGTAAAATGTGTTTGACATGGACAAAATACATGATTTTACAATCGTCAAAAATCATATATATTAAAAGACGAAACTTCGTACTCAATTATGTTAAAAATGAAATGTCATTTTCGACATATAAATGGTACGATTTTCAAATGTTTCAAATGTTGAAAATGTGTATAATGTTTACCTTAAACCTACATTTGCATCAAATAAATTATACATTACATCAATAGAGTGTTTACAACAAACAAGAATATAATGGTTATGCAATTTTCATTTTATAAAATGACTGCTTTAACATGCGCATACCAAACAAAATTGGAGAAACTTGTTTTTACGTTGAAAACGAAAATCAGTGTAAGTTTCTTTAGTTGAAAAATGGAAAACAACTCCATTTAATAAGATAAGTTATAGCTTGTATAAATTAAATTTGATCAATTTACCTTTAGTGTAACGTTCATGTTCGTTCCATTTATATTAACATCATGACACGTTGTATCATATACATAAACTGTTTGTGCATCTCCAAAATTGTTACCGTCATTACTTGCAGAGAACTTATACACGTGAATATAATCTTTCATTTCTGATGAGAAATCTTCTTGTTCGGTAGTTATACAGCACGTTCCCGTAAAAATGTCTTCATATCCACCCTTTTCTTTATGATGGTCCACTAAAGTGACCTCTTGGCCATTTTTATCGATCTAAAAACAATATGAAAAGTCCAAAACCAACCTATAGGTACACCATGCGTTCAAAGCTAGTAAAATATTTCTAAATCTCTATCTGATTTACATGACCGTTCTACAAAGTAACACGAATGCAAATAAAAACATTTTGAACAATAAAATCGAAGAACGTGAGGCAGCTGCTGTAAAAATATTATATAACGAATTAACTGGACAGCGAAGATTTCAGAAAGGATAAACACATAAATCAATTTACTTTAGTCAGTTAATGAAAAATAATGTATGATAATGTAATGTGAAGACATATTTACATAATACTGTATTTGTAATGTATATAAGGCCTTGACCGGAAGCAAATTTGAGTTGATATATTAATAAGTTAATCACTTATAAATGTATAATCATTTTAGAAAATTACCCTGGAAATAGTTGTTTGACAAAAGAATCCATCGAAGATATTATCTGTCCGAATAGTAAAACAGGCACAATTAGAAGAATTGGCTTTGTCACATTCCCCTCCGCCTTGGATATCTTCTATCACTACAGGCACACGTAGATCATAACTGCAGTCAGGGCCCCTGTACCAACTTGTGCAGTTACATTTGCCTAAATAAAAGCAATGTTCATACATTTATTACCCCAGCACTTTAACGTTACAAGATTTTTATATTCTGTAAACACAGTTAAAATGACAAACCTTATTATTCTTAGAATCAAAGTTACAATGATAAACCGTATTGAGTATTTTAGACATGAGATTTTACATTTTTTTGGAATAAATGTTGTTGTTTTTTTTTTTTCTTTTTCTTTTGTTAGAATTTATTATTGTCCATTCCAGTTTGTTTTATAGTCTGGTTAAACATTTTGAGGGGAAGATATCAAACTATCTGATCTGAAATGTATTAAACTTTTTGGACATTATATTTTACTATTGTTGTGGAATTTACGCTTTTTTTTGCAGAATCTATTATGTCCATTCATCTTTATTTAAGCATTGTTAAAATTTTGGACGGGAATGATTTTAAAATATTTTTCTCAAGGTTTCTTTTTTTGATCTAAATTAACAAACCTGTCTCTGTACAGACTCCATTTCCACTACAATTATTAAGACATGTTTGCTTCATAAATACATTAACTTCTTCCGTTTTATTTGCAACATAAACAGGATTAAGTTCTAAAATGTTTGTCGCGATTGTATTGATAGCTTCCACGTGAACATTTGCCCAGGATTTGTCATTCGATTCCTAAACGAAACAAAATATTTAGTTTTTCTACCTGTTTCACATATGTTTTACACTATATACATGATAAAGAAACTATTTAATATATCAAAGCAAAATTCTTTTCTTTTTTTCTCGATTTTTACTTTCACAAAATATTACTTAAATAATAACACTTTAGTCACATATTACAGCTCTTTAAATTTATTACGTAAATAATTTACATCCCTATTCTTTATCCGATTTTTCAAATATATACAGAAATATTCTTTATCAACTTTTATGCCTTTGTTACCATTTACTTAATCGTTTTCTTTCTAATTTTTGTGTACAGTCATGACAATATATGACCTATTGTTAACCCTTTTCGGGAAAAAAAACATACCTTTACATCAAACGCACATTGTTTCACCACTTCGTCGGGGTCTTCATCAGCAGTTTTATCTGGGAAATCTGTTACTGCGGGTGATGTGTAAACAGACTGGTTACAGACAGCTTGTGCCTCTTCTTCTGTGACGGGTGTTTCAACGCTTCTCTGATTATGAACAATGATATATATTCAAGAAAATTCATTTTTAAGATAGTTAAACAGTGAAACAACATGCATCTCTACATTAATTAATGAAACTTTTGGAGGTAGCATGTATTCATTCTATTGACAAAAACTTAGTGGCTGTTTTTAATGTGTCAGCATGAAAATGAAAATGTAAAACAATAATTGATGCCCGTGAATTTTGACAAATCCTTTTAAATTTCGATAAATCACTCAGCCTAACTTCCCCTAATTTTTATGCACAGTCACAAATAAATTGAAAAAAAAATCTTTCGATGAAAATAATAAAACCATAAGCGTGTCTCCTATGTAAAAACTCTCAGTGTCTAATGCAAATGTTATTAAACACGTGTCTTAAACCTTTTCATGCACATTATCGATGTTTTAACCAAAATTTTACACCAGCTCAATTGAAATTCAATCCTTTATTTTTCAAAATAATAAAGAATGTCACACTTCCTTGTTAATCTGTATTTCTTCTAAATTTAAGTTGTTCAGTTCATACCTTAGCTTTACTTTTCCGTGGAGTCGACATTAAACCATAAAGGCGATCCAATTCCTTTTGATGGTTGTATTCTCCAAGTTCTCGCCTTTTCCGATTTTGTATATCACATTTTGTTTTTGTTATTGACTCGGCAGTCTCAGTACTACACTCTCTTTGACGCTGAATAGTGCATTTTCCATTAGCACATCGGCAAGTAGCTTCATTTTTATTGGCCCAACTTTCCAAAATCCGTTTTGAAAAAGTGAACAAATTGAGATTGTCTGCTAATCTGCAATAAGAACATATTTGCTTGGGAAAAAAATTAGAATAAACCTTACATAAGGCCTTGTTGTATTTTACTAAAATATAACTGTTCAGTAACAACCTAAAGCAAACGTGCTATTATATATTACTTAAAAAGGGTCCTGAGAAAAGTTGGGTTGGATTTCTGAAAATATATGTTGTAGCCAGAACGGGAAATATATATCCGTACCAAATTTATATGCATTATTTGACACATGTCAGTTATTGGTATCATATGTGAAGACAATTACTGGCAACACAAGAAAGAAAATCGCATAGAACGCTTAAAAAATCAGCAATTTTTGTAAGTCGCAATCAAGAAGCAGCTTAATCAATTAAGAGTCGACCTAATATACAATATCTTTTTCAAGAAAAAGCAGAATATTTTTATCATAGAAATTTTTTGACGTTGTACGTTTCATGTAAGCAATCAGGTGAATATGAAATGTTTGTTTTCCGACAAATCTGTTCAAAACATGTACCACTATATTTTTCTTCCAATAAAGTAGATTGAAAATTCAAATTTGTCTTTCAAAGACTTAATCATATTCGTTACCAACACAATCTTACCTCCAACTTTCGGAAAACTTGTAATCAGCATTTCTGTTGTTAGAAGTAGAACCGTCGCTATGAACAAAATCATTTGAAGAGTTTGCGTCACAGAGCCCGCAAAGACCCTCCGTTTTTCCAAAGTCTTTGGCCGAAATAAAAACGTCGATATTCATTGTATTTCCATAATGCAAGTTGGCTACGATCTTTGTTCCAGTCGGTGTTAAAATCTACAATATATAATGAAAGCAATGGCAGTATATACATTTATGATAAGAATTTCAAACCATTTTTATCAATGATTTTTAATTAAAAGCCCCGACAAATATTTTATAAACAATTCAGACATTGTCGAACAGCAGAAACAAACAAGACAAAATATTCACAATTTTTACAGTAAATTTGGCTATAAAAGTTATTCTGACACCTTATATTTATGGTCATTGACGCGTTCGACGTGAATAATTCCACCGTCATCGCAATGCAAAAAATCCAACAAGTTTATGCTGCCACATCGATTGATCATGAACACATCGCCACCGGCTCTAACGGCAATACCACACGTACACACAGGACCAGATTTTCCTCCCCAACAATATTTTGTTGCTTCCTGGACCTATATGAACGTATCAAAATATAAGAAATCATTTTTTAAATTAAATAATTTAATCTACTAATAGCTTTTAGAGGTGCACCAAATATAAATAGATGCAGCTTTTGTTTACTTATTCCTATGTCAAGGCGAATTTCTATTTGTTAATGATAATCATGTATGTATTTCATAAAAGCGACAACAACATGCTTCTTATCAAAATTTACTAATTTAGTAAAAGTTTAAAAGTAAATTCATTGTTGAGAAAAGCAAATCATATGTATTACGTTACATAAGAAAATAATTTAAGATTTATATGCAAATGATTTGTACAAATGTAAGTTTTTAATCGTTAGCCCCTGAACTAATTTTTCTTTTGATCTTTCTCTCTCTTTTCTTCCGTTTGTTATTGTAGTTACAACCTACCTCAACATCTGACTCCTTATGATGGAATAACATATAGAATCCTGGCCTTTGGTTTTCATAGTGACTGTAAGTAAAATAATCGTTTTTTACGGTACAAGACCTTTGAACCACACATAACTATGTTAATTTTATGAACTGCTTTCAGCAATGAGAACTAGATTAATAAAAGTTTTAAAAATATATATATCTGACCTAATTTAGTCCCTCACTGAAAAGTGAAACTTTGATATCACACATAAAAGTATCAGCCTTTAAAAAGCAGAATTCAAAGTGTAAAAAAATGTATAAAATGCCAAGAAAATTATCACAGTATTAAACAAGAAAAGCATTGATGCAAAGCATCAAAGGGCGACGCCAAAAGAATTTGATCCAGGTTTGCACCTAAATACTTAACAAAAGATGTGTACTTTATAGCAGTACCATTTCATGTGACCTGGAGGCTTGGCCCAGTTTATGTTGAAACTTAAACCAAAAAGAATAGACTCTGTCTTGCCAAGATGCAAAGACAATTTATAATCAATAAACCAATCTTAAGATTTACTTTACCAGATACAAGGATACCTGAGTCATCTTCATATAATCACAGGCACGAGTATCGGACATGGGAAGAAAAAATATTACCAGATTAATAAAAAATCTGTGTTAATCTTAAAAGTGTCAAAAACCAAAAGAAAAATGTAAATAATGACCCCTTTAAAAATATACTATTAACTTAAAGTATATTTTTAAAGGGGGTCATCATTTACATTTTTTTGGTTTGTGACACTTTTAAGATGAACACAGGTTTTTATTTTATCAATCTGGTAAAATTTTTTCTTTCCAGGTCTGATACTTGTGCCTGTGCATATAATAAAAGCTTATTGCTTAGGGTTGCAGACATGTCATACATAAAAGAGGACCTAAAATGAACATCAGGGGGACACCATAGGTATTCTGAGAGAAGGAGTACCAGCCACATTCACCAGCTGCTATCAGAGATAAGACTTGAACCATGCAAGAATGTCATTACATATGGCAGATGCTTGAAGAGATGAAGAAGAAGAAAAAAGAACTTCTTCATGTGCAGTTTAGTGTGATCAACTGTACCAAATGCTTTTTGTAGATTTAAAAGTATCACGCAATACTGCCTTTGTCCATTTCAAATTAAATGCAATCTATTAAATGAATCAAACATGTGTCAGTTGAAAACCACTTCTAAACCCTGACTGAAACTGCCTGACCATGACTCGAACCCATGACTTTCAGAAGACCAACTGAGCTATCCGGCCGGCTACACATTTTCTCTTTAATAATGAAACAGTTCTAAACCTAAACCTTTTTCCCCACTATATTGATTCATGTACTTGAATTTCTGATGTTTACAGAGCATAGTGAATTAAACTCATGGTTATTTGCAGTAACAGGATGAGAAAAACTTTCAGCTTGACCAGAACTCAAACCTGTGACCCACAGAATAATGTACCGCGGCTGTAGCGATTGAGCTATCTGGCCGCTTACACATTTTCTCCCCTAAATAGTGAACAGTTCTAAACCGTGACAGATATTTAGATTTTTAAATTAACAGATAATTAATTCTTAATTAATAAATAAGAAAAAAAAAAACCTTACATACTCTGATAGTCTTAATTAAAATAACAATTTATATAATTATTATTGTATAATTATTTTTACTAAAAAGGGCTAAGACAGTTATTGGTTGTGCCATTATTTATAACAGGTCAATTTGATTCTTTTGAAAGAGAATATAACTGTGCTAATACATGTACAATATCTATGATAAGAAATTTTATGAAGGCTGATTTGTATTTTACATCAAGGGCACCGGGCGAAAACATGAAAATGCAACCAACGAACCACTTTGTGGTAGATTGTATTTTCATGTTTTCATCTGGCGCCTGGTTACTTTTTGTACTTTGTTGGTTTACATGTGGCACAAATCACCCACTATAAAATTTAGTGTACAAATTTATTTAAGGACAAGTATCAATCTACTCTATGAGAAGTCTGTTATAGGGTTGACTCAGGAGACCTGGAGATTGAGACCGGGTGTCCCTCCATTACAAATAGATAAGGCAGAAGCTGTCCTTTTCAAACTTTGCACATGTTAGAAAAAAATTAGAATAACTATTCAGAACATGATTTTTTGAGGCTTTATCAATTATATTGCTTGATCCAAGTTTCAGGACATTTTCAATCAATACATGTATTATCATTTATAACTTTAAATGAAAGTCTCATCTCTTTAATAATAATGACATAACTGCAACTCTTTAAATTCAGAAATATTATAAATCTCATCATACCAATAATGGCAATATACTAAGATATAAATGTATGCACATAACATTAATAATTCCAAGTTTCTATTAAATAAATATGAAATATTGGGTACATAAAGCCAGTAAAAGTATATATATATCAATATTCACTCATCAGGGCCTCTGTGCTTTTGATGACCTTGCAACTGGTAAATTTTATAAAACAAAAATTGTAAGTAATACCTAAGATAGACAGAAAAGAACAAATAATTTAGTAAACATGAGTTACTTCCCCTTGAAATAAAGAAAACATGAAACCCAAAAGAACACCCTAAACATCAAAATTAAGAAATGTTGCTGGCTCATTTTAATTATGCCATGCAAATTAATGGTAAAGTATTCATAAAAAAAGTAGATGGCCATGTGACAGCAGTAATTGCAGAAAATCGGATAGCTGTCAACATCCGGATACTGGTACACTTTGTAAAAACAACCATTCTGTTCAACAGATAAACGTAATATGGATAAAATCAATAGGATAATCGTTTACAACAGTCCATTACCTATCCTAATACTCATTTGCAGGTGAACTTTCTTCTTGTAGGAAATTTTTGAAAATATATAAATGAATGAGCATCAATGTAGACCACAACGATTTTCGAAAATCGGGTTTTAGTATTGTCAATAAAACAAAGGGACAAGCTGTTAATCTGAGCCTGCAATTTCATGAAAATAATATCACAATGCACATGCTTTTTATATAAAGTTATTAAATACAAATATAACAACATATTTGTTTACTTGATTTTTACGAATCAAAATAAAACTAATTAACACAACATGAAATTAACTGCTAATAATAACAGCTCCTTCCATAGGCAAAAATAAAAAGCATTCCATATAAGACGACGCCGCTCACCGGCGTCGCCAATAAGAACAAATAACTGTCTAAAGTAGTTGAAGACAACAATGTATCAGTAAACTACGTACTTGCCGTCACATGTTCTCATATGCGGGTCAACATGTGAGTAGCACATTCTATTCTGATAGCTGTCCGTAGATTCCACATTAACCTGTGAAAAACAGATTGCATTAAATAATTTAGATATGGAAGATTTTTCAAATTCTTTCCTATCAATGAAAGTGGATATACTGATTTGTTGCGTTCTTACCATAAGTATTCTATATAAATATGATATATTTTCATATATAAAGTAATTACTCGATGAAGAATCCGTTATGAAAAAATGAAAAATATACAAACCGATGGACATTTCTATATATGATTACATAGTTTAAATCAAGGGTTTGAAATTTCATGTTAAAATTTTAATCGTATCATGTACTCTATAGATTTATATATTAAGATAATGTTCAATGTCGCATATTATTCTTACATGAACTGTATTGTCAACAACATAGTTTTGTCCCAATCCAAGATTAGCATTGTTTCCTACTTGGAGACGTAAATCAAACTTGGTTGCATCATCGTAGTTTTTGTCAACTGTTGCAATACGGAATACGTAGACAATATCGGAGTCCAGAATTTTTTTTGATTTTTGAGCCTTTGAAATAACACATAAAATTACATTACATTTGAAGTGTTTTAATGAGAAAAAAATCATTATAATTGTTTATTATAAATAACACTCCTTTTCGTTAACAAGTTTAAAGAATAATGAATAATGAGTGTTGGTTTGTCCATAATAGTATTTTATCAACAAGGCCAATAAGTTTAGTGACACGAATATACACATTAATGTATTATATAAATATAATTAAGATTGTTTTCAGCCAAAATTATATCATTTTTCTGCACTACTGCACTAACACGCTTAAACCGTAACCCTAAACTTCAATGCGCATTTACGTCTTGTGTATATGAAGTAACAAAAGCGGTACAGGTATGTGGGTCATTTCTATTGAACACCGTAGCACAAAATGTATAAATACAAAACCGTAGTACCAAAATTTCGTTGACACACTTATCGTCGTCATCAGCATTCACGACACTTATGCCCGCGTCGCATGAATTTTCACTGAGGTTTGGATCATACAATGACAGTGATGTGGAGCAGTCGGGTGAGTCATTTTCACTGTATTGGCATCCAATAGGTACTGTTTGAGTCACTGTTACAGTATTATAACCACCTTTGGAAACGGTCACGTCTGGTTGGTTGACCTGATAATTATTATAAAAAAAAGAATTTAATATTACTCATGACTCACTTTCATGTTATCACCTAGGAAAAGTATTTACTCATATCATTTCATATTAAAACCAGGTTTACATCAAGTGTAATTGTAAGTTTTATACTAAAGGAAAATACATAAGCATTTACCCCCACAATATTTGTTACTGGTATACATTATTTGGCACATGTCCGTTATTAGTATCAAATGTGATGCATAACCATGAAATAAACACGAAGACACATACTGGCCAAACAAGAAAGAAGATAGCATAAAACGCTAAAAAACACATCAACAATGTTTTGTAAACATCACATCATAGGAAACATCCATGTAGGAAACATCACAATAACTTACTTTAAATCCTGCGTAAAACTGGTTACTTATGGTTTCATTAGACTCATCACCAATGTCATTCACGACTATTGTACCACATTTTACCTAAAATATGAAATATATTTTAAAAATCTATGTTCAAAGATTTTGTTACAAACTAGCAGCAGAATATTGTACGAAAGGCATGAAAAAATAAAAAGCAAAACTTATGTGTTTAACCCCCAAAACTGCATGTGTTTTTATGTTTTGTGATCTACATCGTACCAACACAGTAGAGGTCAAATGGTGAACTTGTAAAGAAAGATTTCAGGTATCGACATGAATAGCTTTCTCACTACACTTTTGTACTAAATGTATTAATAATGGTTTCTCTTAGAAAGCGTAAAATGGTAAACACGAGATTAAACACATATCTTTATATGCGCTTTGTCAAACGTACTTACAAGCATGCCAAATAAATTTTAGACTCAACTTACTCCTCGAATGAGTAAATTTAATGATCAAGAAACCCCTACAACTGCATAATGCAATTGCAGATTCTAGTAGTTAAAAAAAAAACATTTACAAATATGATGCAGTTTGTAATTTGAAACATAAAAATGATTATTATAGGTAAAGATATGCTCTAATGTTTTCTAACTTTGGAGAGAGAAATCTTCTTATATACTTACGTAAAACCCAAGTTCTCGCTTGGGCAGTTCAAATTCTGTTAGAACAAGATCAGCTGTCATGTTAGAAGGTCCCTTTTGTAAGACAAATTTATCATCAACATACCTTGAATAAAAGTGAAAAGTAGAAAGTTAAATAATCTAGTATGTATTCGGACACCTGTCTTGCTCACATCTTTAGTACAGTTTATATTTTAATCTAATTAAATAACTCTTCAAAGAATCAGAATGAATTGTATTGAATCATATATGACATAAAATATTCATTTTACAAACGAAACTTCTTTCTAACAACTAATATTGTGTGCATTCTGTCAGTATGAGACTGTTTAATTTGACATTGACTTCCGATAAATTAACGGACTCTTCGCCGTCCTTTTGCAGGCCATAAAATTTTGTATTCTTTTTCAAGTATCAGAAATATTATTAATTATGAAATTGATTAAGAGTTTGTTTTTGTTTGAATGTGAACATAAAAAGATATTTAATTAATAGATCCACCTGGAAATGAATGTCCACTTGTATAAATAACAAAAAGTTTCACTATGTTAGCTTCAGTATGTCATATTGCTTGTGATATTTTAAAGAAGTCTCCGTTCCTTATTCCTTATCGCTAGATCTGTGAGCAACTTACAGGATTTACGGGTTCTGACAACTGACCAAACTGGACATGTTGTTAAAGATGTGTGCTAATTTCTTTTTTCACCTAAACATGTTTCAATGCTCTTGAAGGCACTTTTCCTATTACTAACGCATTCACACTCTACTTATAGGCAGTTACATATTTTCCAACATAGTAGACATAGCTTAGAATTCATGAAAAACAATATAGGATATTTTTCTATATTCGTTTGAAAATCATTAAACTCGTGTACAAACAAAATTCTACGAACCATTTCACATAATAAAATAATGTTTCGTTCGACTGAAGAGAGCATTGGAATTGAAGATAGGGTTTGAATATATCCCCTATATCCCCTGTCCTGCTGTGCTGTATTTCAGGGAGTACTTTAGGTTTATCTTCAAATATATACAAAATGTAAATATAAATATCTCATACTTTTGTACATTATGAAAGACTAGATATACAAACATGACTTTATATCAACAAGTTGGAAAGAAAGAACAATTAGCAACAATTTTGTCATGATAGCACACTGTCACTCACCTCTGCACTTATTAATTATTTTATCATAGGAGCTCGCGTGGAGCACGTTGCGCTCTTAGATATTTAAGAGGCAATGTTAGTATCTATGGTTACCTAAGGAGGGAAAGAGTTATGAACAGATTAGATTATGCATAACTGAAACAATTTCAAATGCATGTATGAATACAATCATGCTATAGAGCTTATGTTATTAAATAGGTATTACATTTACAATCATATCAACAGGACAATAAAGTATTTTTACAAAAGTAGTTTTAAAAAGGTAGATCTACTAAAATGATATTCAGCGTTTTACCACAGCAGTCAACTTCTCCTCTACAGACAACACCCACTAGAAAGTTATCCCTACATGGGCCTAGAAATGTACAGTCCTCCAATCTGCTTTCTGTCCCTTCACATTGTACATTATTCAGCCATATATGCCCACCACTATTTCCATAAGGAGAAGAATGTGTCACACTTTCATAGCCCATCCTGAATCATAAAATGAAAGCGAACTAAAAAAAAATTTATTAGAGTCGTCCAAGGTTTCCTCATCAAAGGCACACGCACTTTAGGAGGGTTGGTTATGCGCTTGTCATAGAATATCCCACCTTTCATGTCATTGCACGAAAGTGAATTCGAACGCATTTATGATTAGTGCTTTATTATTACCATTATATTGAAACTTTGAGTTCTGCTTCTGACGGTACGAGCGGGTCGACATGGTAGATTACATTTACATAATTCTTTTGCATAGACGTTGAAGAGATTTCAGCTACATGATTCTATTGCATAGACGTTGAAAGGATTTCAACCATCATTCTGTTGTATAGACGTTGAAAGGATTTCAACCATGATTCTTTTGCATAGACGTTGAAAGGATTTTAACCATGATTCCTTTGCATAAACGTTGAATGAATTTCAACAATGATTCTTTTGCATAGATCTTAACTTCGGTAGTACTTGAATCATGTTCGATATATTTTTGTTCAATTATAAAACCGACCATTAACCAAGAAGTTCATTTTGATTATAGTAACTTTCTTTTTTGTCGTACAAACAGACGTTTTATAAGAATAATACAAACCGATTTTAATTGTTATAATCAAGAATGGGAGAGATCTGTCTAGACTAGAGGGCAAAGAAAATGGTTGAATTAACAGACGATGTTTTATTCGATTTGTTCAAGAGGGATAATGTAATAAACAACAACGTTCATGACCCTAGCTCATAATACGGCTTACTCGCAGTAGCGTCAAGTGTTGTGTGACAGCCGAAAAAGTTGGACCGTAATTCATCTCTTTGTTGTTCTATGGGATCATTGATTTTATTACTGAAAGTGTTGGGTATGGTTGCTGATTTCTGTCATCCCATGTCTTCGCTCTTCAAAAGTCTACTGAGAAGACAGAAATACACGATATCATGCTCACTTATCATGTCGTTGCCTTCGTCTTCTACAGAATGATCGTATCGGCGGGTAGAAATCTACGTATCGGTGCCCTATATAGTGTCGCATCGTCGTGTCTTCGCTTCCACGACACGAAGACATGATAAATTTGACAATTTCGGGGCGATATAGTGCGCCGATATGAAGATTTCTACCCGCCGACACGATAATTGTACAGAAAAAGATCTTGTGTCTTAAGCTATTTAAATGTCGATATTACGCTTAAAATATATCGTGTCGGCGCACTCAAAAGTCGCAGTCGAAGACACAAAAAGTGAGCATTTTATCGTGTCTTCGTATCTTCGCCTTCGACATTTGAGAGGCACGAAATGTCAGAAATCAGATACTATAGTTGAGGATTAGATAACGATAAGGCTTGAGCTAGGGTCATGAAAGTTGTTGCTTATTACATTATCCCTCATGAACAAATATTATTTAATTTATCTTAACGATATACATAGGGGTTATATTATCAAATGAAGACAGATAATCTTACGTATATCCAAGACTTCTGCAAACAACAGCTGCTGTTTTGCCTCCCTGAAGTGAAGTTTCGTCATAATAAATTTCATCGTCGCAAAATGCTCTCCATTTACCATCATAGTAAAGCTCAATATGTCCTGCATTTGTTGTAGGTCCATCAACAAGACGGACAGTTTCAGAACACGAGCACGCATCTAAATAATGTTAAGGAATACCACATGCATCTCAAAATATATAAAATTTCACATTATATGGCTTATTTCTATCTCTAGCATTTATATAATGAAATTCTAAATTTACATTAGATAACGCGTTATTAAGTACATGATGTGATGAATCTATTACACTGGAAGAAAATATCTATTCAATAAATGTTCATTTATTTATTTATTTATTTTTGTAAAACAATATACTCATGCAAACATAGTAAAAATGTATTTATTGATAAACAGAAATGAAATGAAATTAACAATACTTATCAGAAAGACAGACTCAATCAAAATACTGAATCCATATTTCTACGTTTGTAAGGAAAAAAACAGCCCTTATATAGAATATTTACTGAAAAGTGTGTCCTGCATGGTTACAATCAGTTTTGATTTGAGTACATATAACTAAAATTATATAATCTATGATTAAATAAAATAAGAACAAAAATATTAGCCATTGAATTGTGCAACGCTTGACATACCATGAAGCAGCTGATTTTCTCAACATTCAAACAAATTGATAAGGAAGAGGAACTGAAATATTATAGTTTCTTAATGTGACTGTAAAATATTGAACAGCAAAATGCTAATCAATTTTACTATTTAATAATACTTCATTTACAATCAACCAACGGTTGATGATTATTTAAGACATTGTAATAGGGATGCTGCAAACCGTTTGCATTTAAATGAATCATTTTTTTTCTAATTGTGCTCCAGTATAGTTACAAAAATTTGATTGTTTACAGTGCTTATGTGCCATCAAGGTAGCGGCACCTTATGATTAAGGTGTCTGGGCTGTCCTTCATAGAAAGTTCGAAGTCTGAAATCAGTCTACAGACAACTAAGACAATTTCGAAAATACACGGTTAGTTTTGGAAAGTGCACCGAAAAGAATTTATAAATTAACTTCTAGCCTTCATCACAAATTGAGTAGAAACTACTATATTTACAATGTGCCATTAGATCATTCGGACGGTGGTCAACATCAGTGGATGTGATACCATTGATTTTGCTTTTATCCCCTAAACATTTGACAGTTACATTTGTCCAATGGCATTCAGAATTGACGACACTTAACCAAAATATAGTTTTCGTCTGAAACTTGACACTTCGCTCAAAAGATTTAATATTTCTCAAAAGAATCATTAGTAATTCATGGTTGCAAAAATACACTTGATATTTCTCCTTATAAAACTTACTAAACTCATAAAAACAACCCCATGAATTGTACAAAGATAACCTTACATTCCGCCCAGAAACCAGTGATAGCGGATTGCATGTATTGCAGTACTAAGTTTATTCCACGCTTGCTCCTTTTGTTACTGAATATACGGCGCATAACACGGTGTGCAGGTCACATGGGAACGAGGAAGATTATATAGACAGCCAAAAAGTGAAGAAAAAAGAACGAAAAACGGGTAAAGAAAAGAGAACATGGTACAAAGAATTAGATACCCAACAGTTTAAAGTATCTGCTGTAGAATTTTGCATGTAAGAGCATGTTACAGCTTGATACATTACTATAAATTAGCTTATCACAATAAGTTCATGAGTAAATTTACTTCACATAACCTGATTATGTAACGTTTATAAACTGTGTTTCTTTTAAAATAAGAAAGGGTTTTACCTTTAAACTGTTGGAGATAAATATAGTAAAATAAACTGATATTTTTATATCAGTATATCAGATTTCTGAAACAGAAAAACAATGCCCCTTTGCCATGTTTAAGTAACTGAATAAAACTTTCAAATTATTCTTATTGAAACAAAAAACCTATCAATTACTTAAATGTCGTAAAATATAAAACATTAATGTCACTTTTTTTGCTGTTGGTTTAATGCTTTGACTTCATTTGCCTTTGTATTCGGTTATACTACGCTTTAGTATGCTCCGTATTATTGTTACTGACAAGGAAGTTGAAATACAAATTAGGCTTTCTGAAATATAAGAATATTAAGGTAGACCATGGGTAATGGGCACCATAAGGAACTGTAAAATTGACAACATAGGACAGTTATATGTCTTCAAGGTCACCTGTATGCAAAATTTAAATAAAATTTACCGTGTGGTTTATGAGTTATGGATATATTTCTGAACTAAGACTTTGCCATTAGAAGGGCTTATTTTCAGAAATGAGGAAACTGTAAATAATCTGTAATATCATCATTATAAAAAATGTTTTTCTATTGCTCATTGTTAAGAAACAAATAATAACATTCAGGTAACACATTACACAAGCAAAATGTTTGTTTCTAAACAAAATGTTCTTAATATGTATAAAAATGTTTCCCTACCCCACCCACTTTTAACACTAATTTTACCATTTCCCTATCTAAAATGCCTTATTCAAAATATCCCTAAAATTTACCGAAATGAGGGTCTGTTTTCAAAGTTTGCCTAAATTTTCTTAAAGGTATATTAGTTGATCATGCGAAATATAAAATACTTTTACCGTGTAGTTTTTATTTTATCGAACTTTGAAAATATCTGGTATCATATTTGCTATAAATTTTGGCATTATTTAGCAAAAAAAAATACCTAAAATAATTATATAATTTAAATAAAACTTTTTGTCTTCCATAAGGGATCAGAGAGATACATAAATAATGTTAAAAAGAAAAAAAGAAAGAAAAAAAAGTTGCCCCTTCTGGGGTTTGAACCCACGCCCCTCAATTTCAATGTAGTTTACAAGCGATTCTAGCCTATTTGAATACTCTTCAAAGTGGAGGTAATGCATTACGCATGGTCTACCTTAAAATATCAAATTTTGAGATAAAAATATTTTGCTTCGTTATTATGTGATAATTATGCTATTTGGGAAAATGTGTTATTTCTTCTTTCACTGACAACAACTTAAGAAATGTTTTTCTTCGTTTTATTTATTTATTTATTTATTTATGTAATTTATTTATTTATTTATTTATTTATTTATTTAGTAAATTTTGTTTTTAATTTTATTTTTTCATCATTGCGCTGTATATTTCGCTTAATAGTAGGCATGTTTTACACAATCTTCCGATTGAATTAAGTCATAACGTTTACAATTGGATAGACAGCAGATAAGATAAATGACATCAACAATTACCTGTCTCTCTTATAGTCGTGGTACAATACAAATCATAAACAAAGAAATATATATTAAAAAACAAAGGATGCATAAATAATTCTTACATGCCTCTCTATATGAGGAAGTTATGTCGATCATTTTTAAAACAATAACTATACGACCATTAAAGAGGTCTGAACAATCAAATACACGAACTTTTGAAATGCTATAATAGCATTTGAAATACACTATTTTTTAGGTAATGGCTATAAATATACATGATTAAAAATCGAATATATTGTTTAAACCCACGGTGTTTCTTTAAACTTTTTTTAGTTCTGATATAAAGTTTAAAATGGATTTTGAATTTTATGTTTTAGTTTGATTTATGGCGACGGAAGTACTACAGTACTACAAAGTGGTGTATGTGCTAGTGGATCTTGGTATGGCGACGGTAGTTTTACGCATATAAAAATTGCATGTGTTATTGGTTCAGGGCATGGCGATGGTAGTATAACAAATATCACATAATAAATATCCGTGACAAGCTCCAAACCTCAACGGTATTTGACATACATGCTAAAGTAACAAACAATGTATATTGAATATCAGTTTTTAAAAAATTCTAATTAGATTCAGTAATATTACATTTTTAATACAAAACCCAAGCACTTTTATAACAAATTATAGAAGCGTTTAAAGCTGTTTTCTTTATTTTCATATTAGTATTTTTACAATGTGATATTTTAAGGTCTTATGATAGACATGGCGATTTAACAAAGAATTTTAATGAATTCTGCAAAAACCAAATAAATATTATTTATTCAAACGTACAAAATAATCTCATGTGTGTTACTCGGTTAAGGCTTAAACGGACGGCAGGATCTAGAAGTACAACACCAATAATAGCCAACAAAATGTGTGAAAGCAACTATTTCTTGAATTCGTAAAACTTCATACAAGATTTATCAAAATATAGGACATGTTATATTTAGTAATTCTTATACTGCAGACCTCCCACGATGACATATTTCCAAATTATCCCCTGATAATGTGTGTAATGATTGCAATTCCCCAAAACTTTGGGCTAAAATGTAAACTTAGTAGTAAGATGGAGTAAAGGAGATGTTAAAAATCTTTTGGAAAGCCCCCAAGTTGCGTGATGTTGATATCTCCCAAATTACTCAGACAATGGTTGTAGTAAAAATTGAGAAATTTTTATTATTACTCATGAAGAAAAAATAATTCTTCACAACACGACCACAATACGGAACAAACTTTAGGGTTCAGTCCAATATTTTGAGGACATAGCAATTTCCTAAATGCTCACTTCAAGGCCTAATCTTTCGGTTTACCTCTTAAACAATCACCTTTTGGTCAAAACCAAGTATAATATTTACATATATTCCAAGACTAATAGTGTGTAAATATTGTAGGATCAAATTGGAAGGGTGAAATTCAGAGGGAAACCTGATGAATTATACCCTTTCCACTTAAAGATCCAGTATGTTGTAATTAAGGTTGTTACCACACTTAATTGAAATTTAATATATGTATATAACAAGGTTAGCTTTTAAAAAAGCTAGTAGCGACTCGCTTCGTAATTTTTTTCAAGGGGTGCGTTTAAATGTAAAAATAACAGTTCTGTTAGCTGAAGAGACTTTGAACAGCGGACATCAAAATAAAAGTGACATAAAGTTATGGAAGCCAGTTTCACTCAGTTTAACAAAGAGGAATATGAGTATATATGAAGATGCATGTAAACAGATAGAATGAAGTCCCTATGTCTATGCACATTTACTATATGGCCTTTTGACCTTGACCAAATAAATGTTAGATAGGTAGAATTCATAAAAATGTCTCTTTATACGAAGTTAAGTTGTAATATGATATTTAGTATTGAATTGAGTGAAAGACACAAGTCCTAAAGTAAACACAAGTTGTCAATTAATTCAGCCAGAAAAGCCGGGATCCTATTAAAAATATAGGGATCCCGGGAATTAACCAGTCTTAGGTGCTTTTTAGATAAGCCGGGATCCTATTAAAACATATAGGGATCCCGGGAATTGACCAGTTCAAGAATATATTTTCAGAAAAGCCGGGATCGTATTAAAGTATAAAGAGATCCAAGGAATTGGCCAGTTCAAGAATAGTTTTCAGAAAAGCTTGGATCGCATTGAAACATAAAGTGATCCCGGGATTATACCAATTCAAGATTGTAGTCTTTGATTTTTCCAATTAATTAGGCAAATAATTATAAGTATTGTGATTTTTAAGTTTGTTGATAAATAGCTCTAAATATATTTATATCCAAAGTTTAATAAATTTAACGTTCATTACATACAATAAAAAACTTAACGTTTAATGGCCTTTCATTACGACAATAATCTACACAAATATAGTTTATAAGTTTTTCCTCTATATCTTATACGATCCCGGATCCCGGCCAGTCCGGGCGTCCCGGATCCCGGCCAGTAAATATATACACTAAATACCGGAAAGGATAAAATGACCGGAAAAAAAGGAAAAAGAAAAAAATGCTCTGAACCAGGTGTACACTTATGTTAATTAACCAAACGAAAACTTACTACAGAGGAACAGGTGAAATCGGTAAATCAAAAGTCAGTGTTAATATGATTTATTGAAAAGAATTCATGAAAACAAACATTTTTAATCATCATAATATCTTTGCGCTCAAAACAATACTTGCTGCTTTTTAAATATGGCGTGAAAATTGAAGGTTTTTTTGACGCTATGTAAGATTAAATTTGATTGGCTAAATAATTTTGGATCCTAGCCCTGATAGATTAATTTTTAAAGAAAGCTGGAAGCCAAGCTTCGATTAAATTTTTGGATAGATTCGGAGTTTTAGGTTGTTTCTCAGTAAAATCGTAACGTAATACCGGCTCGCCGTGGCGAGCCGGCATTATGCCTCTAAAACAATTTTAAACATCGAAGAATATGCAAAATATGTACTGCAAATATTTGTCCACATTATATGTAATCATTAAAATATATGCATTCATTTCTTATTGAAAAAATTGACATAGACTTTATAGAAAATAAACTTCAAATGACCTCCCTTTATTAATATGAAATTTAAATTCGGTAATATCTTTACAAATAATGCTTTTTGGAACTCACAATATTTATAAATCTTCATTTGAGCAGTATTTTAATGATATAAAACCATAAAAAGTTTAATTACATAATTATGATCATTGATATAGTAATTGTTTAGAGATAAATAATTTAGGTCTATCTAGGTCAAAGCTATTCAATAGAAGTTTTTTTAGAATTTTTCCTTGCATTTCAAATTTCTATTTCGGTGAAAGAATAAATAGATAAAGAAAAATAAGAAAGAAATAAATCTTTGAGCTTTGTTCATTTTTTATTGTGAATTTATTAAAAAAATAACCAATTAGTAAACTATTTTGGTCATATTATATTTTTTATCAATGTAGTGTATGAAGCCTATGTATCTAGAAAAGATCAATGAATAAAATAAATGAATGAATGAACAATTTTTGAGATTATAAATACAACAAATAAGAAATTAATTAACAAAATTGGATTATAGTAAAGATTATTGTAAAGATAGTCTCAATAATTATTAAAACAATAGATGTTTTAACTTACTGCTTTTTGTGACAACTAACACGAGTAAAAGAAAAGGCATCAGGATCAAATGTGCCTTTGCCGTATCCATATTTAAATATCTTGATATTCTTTTTAAGAAGTTAATTGCCTTTCCATTCCTTCAGTACCCGTACAATGTTACACACCACTGTCCATTTTATGATTAACGAGTTATATGCAGTTGGCATTGAATTCTATTTTGATTAAGTTACGCTTTAATACGCTTCATATTGTCATTTAACGAGGAAGTGTGGGTATAAACTAGCTACAATAAATCGTTTTTCACTGATCACTCCAGTGGGTATTATGAAATGTTTAAAAAAAAAATATTGTCACTCGTGTATGTGTGTTTTTTTATATTCAAGTTCGGCCTTACGGCTTTTATCAAAATAATACAATTTTTGGTTGATTCAAGCCAGAATTGTTAAATTTTGTTAAAGGCAGTAAGGCCGAAACGTAAAATAAAATGAAAAACTAGTCAATACAAGTCTTGAAGTATACGTTTCATACTTCGCAATGATGCAACGTTTTAAGGAAAGGGCTGACATTTTGGTCACTCATTCTGTCAACCACCTACGAAATTATATTTATTCGATCTCGCAATATATTTCAGTTATTCTGACGTACGATACCTGCTTCCTTTTTAACTAGGTCATAGCTTGTGTCAGACAGTTGATAAGATAGAAGACAATTACAATTACCTGATATCTATTATCTATATAGCTGTGGTACAATACAAGTCAAAGGGGCAAAATATAAACACAAAGATATATAATTATGAAACAAAAAGTACATCGCTAAACAGTCGATCATGTTTTAAACACAATAATAACACAATATCGTTAAAGAGGATCTAAACAAAAAAAAAAACTGAAATGCTTTATCATTAATAATAAACTATAAGGTTTTAAAACTTATTGGCTGAAAAACTGAATTTGTATGATAATAATTATGATTTATAAGCAGATAATATTCAATTTCAATTAAAGTTTAACAAATGAAAAACATATGAATTTTTTCTATTTGTGATTATCGAAAATCTATAATTTGTAATAGTTCTCGTCAAGTTGTATTGAATTGGTTCGGTCTTTCTAATGTAACACAGTCTATGTTTTAGTAAATTCTAAGATAATCTTATATATTCCAAGATATTTTAATATATTTCAAGATAGTCTAATATACTCTAAAATATTCTAATATATTCTAAAGTATACTAGGTAATCTAAGATAATTTAATATATTCTAAGACATTCTATGATATTCTAATATATTCTAATAATTCAATACATTCTAATACATTTTGAGACATTCTAATATTTTCTAAGATACTCTAAAATATTCTAAGATATTCTAATAAATTCAAATACATTCTAAGATATTCCGGGGTATTTTAATATATTTTAAGATCCCCTGATATATATTCTAATATATTTTGAGACATTCTAATATTTTCTAAAATACTCTAAAATATTCTAAGATATCCTGAGATATTCTTATATATGCTAAGATACCCTAAGATATATTCTAATTTATTCTAAGATATTCTAATATATTCAAAGATATTCTAATTTACTCTAAGATATTATAATACATTCTATTACATCTAAGACATTCTAAGATATTCTAAGATATTTTACGGTATCCTAAGATATAAGTCAGGTAAACTGATATTACATTTGTATTATTAAAGTAATCCTAACTTTATACATGCAAGTTACAAATTTTACCTATACATTCTGTCCTTATAACTTTTATATCGTTATTTTTTATTTTGATATTAGCGTTAATTCTACCTTTAAGAATTTAAGCATCAGTTAAATTGCTTTGAAATTAACTACAAGCTAAACACAATAGACAACAAAAAAAAGGACAAAAGTGAGCTCCTACCATCTTTTCAAGCTAACATTGTGTAACACATATGTTGTAGATATATATATGTACATTATATATGTACAGAATTACGATTATCAAACAAAAATGAAGAATCAATGCTTTACAAATGAACATAACAAACAAATTGCACTTATATAGGAAACATACTTATATTATTTAATAAAAAATAAAATAATATTTGCTTACTTATTAGAATTTGACATTGCAATGTTTACAATTATAGGCCAAAAAATGAAACTTCTTTCTCAAAAAAGTAGATCTGTTAAAACCATAATTATTTTCTATCGATATTTTAGATATTTTTATATGCATAATGACATTTTAAAAATCCTTGGCCATGATATGACAGTTTTTTTTTTTTACAAAGAATGCTAACCATAATACACAATTTCAATGTTCTCAAGGCTAGTTTACGTAATCATACTGGTATACGTTTACCTTAATGGTACAAAGAACATTCAAAACGTATATACATGGACGATTATATAGTTAAAAAATCTCACAAGTTTTCTCATTAAATAAAATTAAATTGCAGTTAATATTTTATAATCATATCATTATCTAAGGTTAAAGCTACATTAAATAAATATGTAAAATTATTTTGCCCGTCTGGCTTAAAAAAACCAGCATTCTACAGTTTTCAATAATGTTGTAAATTTCATCAAATACTATTCATAAATAAGGATTTAAAACGGAAAAATCAACCCCACGGTAACACTAAAGTTGTATTACGAATTTTACATGTAAATGAAGACTATAATCAGCTCGTGTATGCGCTACGTCACCGTGTTTAGCTGCTATCCAGAACACAAACAATATGAGATTTTCTTGTGCAAACACACTTTAACAGTTTTAGCCTTTACGGTTGCACTAGGCCTGGGGTCCAGAAAAAAAAGAAATTCATCTCATAAAAAAAGATTAAATTTGTATGAAAACATCCGTCACCAATGCGGAAAATTACCGTTAAATTAGGACTGCTACTTAAATATGTTTGTTGATTTGATATTGATGTACAGATGATCCGAAGGCGGAGTTTTCTCATGCAAACTGAAATTGTACTTTCAAATTTCGCCACAATGAGGTTGCACCCTTTTTATGCTTATAAAACTCATTTTTGGTGTCCGGACACCAAAGTAAGATCTGGGATCGGTATGAAACCCAATTTTGTTTATGAAATGTCGCTATTTCTGTTTTTATGAAATTTATTTATTGTAGCTTTAAGGTAGGTGGTCTTTTCTCACTTCATGTAATTCGATAAAATCATATGTTGGCAATGGACGAAAGAAAAATGTAGTTAGAAAGGGCTGACTGTTCTGTCTAATTTAAACTGTATTTCTGTTATAATGAATTTAAGTTTCATTACATAAAGATAGACATAAAGGTCAACTCTAGGAAACAAATATGATAATAATAATAATGGTAATAATAATAATAATAATGATAATAATAATAATAATAATGATGAATAAAATAATAATAATAATTATTATTATTATTATTATTATCAAAATTATTATTATTTATTATATTTTATTATTATTATATATTTAACAATTAATTACATAGATGATATTGAATAAGTTGTTGTTTTAATATCAAAAATTTATTGAACGAGCTGAATAAACTCATATCATGCGGCCTTTGCCGAACATTGTTTTACTAAAGTTATAAAGAAAATATTTGCTTTTCATAATCAATTTCGTGAAAATGACTACTAGCCACCGAATCTGAAAGTACCTTTTTAGTTTCGTCGGTGTTAAATTAGTACAAGAAAGCATACATTACTTAATAGAATTGTTCTTTTTTTCAGAATACCTGAAACCCATTCTGCCTAACTCCTGGTGTTCATAATAATTTACGAAATGAAAGCCAAATGTGATTCAAGAGCTATTAATGAATGAACCAGCCGTTTCTTTGAATTTCACCCGGAATATCAGCTGTACCTGTTAAATAACTTAGAGTTAACAGTATAATTTATAATAATAGTTTGAGTAGTCTCGGAAAGCTTATCATAAAAAAATGTTTAATTGTACTTATCAATATCGATCGGCAAAAAAAAAAACAAAAAACTATAGCCTAGTCATTTGCTTCACAATGACTCAAAAAAAGTAAAAACTTTAATGCGAAGATTTTTTGTCACGAGGGTACAAAATATATTATTTTCCTATCAGCCGCATGCGCTGATTTTTTTCTTTCAATTTTTACTTGTATTGTTATGCAAAAAGGCACGATACACTTTTTGGTCCGTTAGTTATATTTTCTCCCTAAAAATGCACACATTTTGGCGCAATTTTTGCGCAATCCTGCAGTTTTTCGACAATCCTGTTAATGGGTTATATATATATTATATACGGTATTGTTTTTATATAATGTTAATTTGTACCGTAAGCTGATTTACTAATCTCTTTTAACGAAAGAGTCAGGTAGGTAATTTTTAATTTCTTATCTTAACTGCCTTTTCTTTAAATTTGAATTTATGAAATACGTACTATATACATGAATGTTAGGCACATAATACGGGGTTCGGATTACATTGGGACGAGGAAGTTTTAATCGGCAAGATTAAAAAAAAAAGAAATAAGGAAAAGCAGCAAAAAATGCATCATAAAACATGTGTGAGAAAGGGTTTATAACACGCAACATTAAAACCCTGTCTTAAGTAAATACATTTAGACTGAGAGATTGTATTACGATTTGATTTATTACTTTCTACCTATAACGCAATGTATTTTATTTTAAATGTTACATAGGGGAACTTCTCTTTTTCAAGAAGAACAGTATATGCTAGGGTTTTTTTTTTCCAAAATGTTCTGCCACTGGGATTAGATGTCTTCAACGATAACAACGTAATATTGAAAATATATTCTATCACAAACCTTTAAAGCTATCGCCATTTTCTAAAATGTGTCCCTTTTTACTAATAAGACAGAAATTATCCCCCGACCCCTTATTTTTAGTGCAAAGGATTGAATTAAACTTGAGCTTCCCCCCCCCCCCCCCCCCAACAAATGATATGTTTTGTCGTTGCCCTCAATGTATCTTCCTATACCATGATAGGTATACTTAAAAAAAACGGCCTTCAGCTTTAATTTTCTGTCGCGAAAAAAAATAATTTTTTTTTTCC